TGGCTGCTTTTTTTTTCTGCCCCCTCATTATTTTTAGACAGAAATCTGCGTCCCCGGGCTCGGAAGAAGCTCCGAGGGATGCCGACCCTCCCCACCTACACCCTCGCCCCCCGGTAATGCAGCTCCTTGCGCTGGTACCCAAGGCCACAGTTGCAATTTGGATTCGTTAAACTGATTTGCGGGGTTTTTTTGGTTGGTGTTTTTTGTCGTGTTGTTTTTTTGTGTTTTTCTTTTTTTTTGTCGTGATCTAAATTTGGATTCTTCCCCTCCTCTGAACAGCTCCCGGAGCCTGGCTGGGGGCGAGCGGGAGGCAGTAGATGGGATGACAAAATAAGTCATGTCTCTCGATCACTTCAATGCCACCCCCTCTCTCCCGGCCTCTGCCTTCCATTTTAATCACTGACAGGCCTTCAAGTATTATGGATATATATAATCTTTTTAATATCACTGACATTTTCCATAATGGAAAGCACCTCCTATGTGCTGAGACATTCTGGAGGGGGGATCGTGCCTTTCTGCTGATGCTCTTGCTGCACGGATCTGAGATCCATCCTGCCCCAGAGCTGGAGGTCTGAAGGTCCTGCCCGGGGAGCAGACAGCCGGCAGGCCACGTGCCTCCCGGGGCTTTGCAGATCTCATCAGCCTGACTCTCCCAGCAGGCTCTGGCCTCTAATCCCACTCCCAGCTGCAGCCTGCGAGATGAGCACCTCCAGCATCCAAACCAGCCTCCATGTCAACCCGGAGAACGTCCCAGCCCGAGCGGTGGGCGGCAGTCTTTGGGGTTGACCCAGGCCTTCCTCTTCCTCTGTTCCCAGTTCACCTGCATCAGACAGCTGAGGTAGCTGGTTTGCCTCCCTTCAGGCACTGACTTTTTATAAGCAAAGTGAACCTCTCCATGGGGACAACACCCTACGTGTCACAGCAGAGCTGTACTGGCGTGGGATTTGCTTTGCTACATGGACCACAAGCCCCCGCTGTAGGAACTGGGACCCAGCAGGGCTCTGAAGCCGATTTCTCTCAGCCCTGGCACAATCTGGCTGCTCAGCCAGACCCCCTCTGCCATTGAGAAGCCTCTGGAAATGCGCCATCACCTTCTGCTTGCAGTGTTTTCCTGGAATCCCCCTTCCCAGCCTCTCTAACAGTTACGGTGTCTTCAGACTCTGACTCACGTGATGGGTTTGGTATGTAACTCCCAAGGCCAGGAAGGTCACTCATCTCAGTTATTTAGCAAACATGACACAAATTATTAACACTAATACAAATAATGCCCGCATTTGGGAGAGGAGAAGAACAGCTCCCTGCCTAGCTGCTAAGACTTGGCATTACAGGGGCTGGAGCATCCCCACGTCCTTCAGAGCGTGGGGACTCAGCAGCCCTGAGGGTCTTTGCTCTAACGACAGAGCCCACACCTCACGCCGGGGCTGTAAATAAGGGGCACATGTTTCTAAAAGTGTTCTGTGGAAGGCAGCTCGAATTCCACTGCAGTTGCAGTCATGTAACTTCCACAAATCAATGCAAAATGGAAAAAAAAAAAAAAAGCAGCTGGCTCAGAGAAAGCTGCAGCAGGCAGACAGCAGAGTATTGCACTTGTTGGCCCAGCACATCCTTGCCCGTGTGCTGCTTATACCTTGTCCCTTGAGGACACTCTTGTCCAAGGCTGTAAGAGACACTGGCAGTATTAATGAAAAAGAATAAAAAAATAGACTATTCACAGCAGTCAGGCACCCGCCTGCCCTGGGCCACCAGGCTCCTCCCTTGCCAGAGGAGACCAGTGTAGGACATTCTTCCCTGGCACTTCCCTAACATGAAATTCCCATCTACTTGGTTTTGTATTAACTAGTTTTCCTGTGAGTAGAGGTATACCTGGAGCCTGGTTTCTATAGGCTGGACTGGAGGCACAGATCTTCTGAATAAGGCAAATCTATCAAATACAAGCGTTCCAGCCTCTGAGACAATCACGCTGCCTCTGTAATGTACAGACTCCCTCTCGTCTAGAAACAGATGGCTTGAGCTGTTTGAGTTGGGCATATTCACAAGTTGATAATCATCTCCAGGGAGGCAAAAGCTATTGTCAGAGCCTGTGAGACACACCCCAACTTCAGGCCTTTTTCCTTCTAATTCTCAAAATGTTGCTGAAATTCTCACTACAAGAATGCTGAGCAGAGACATTCCCTTCATGAGTTTGTGCCCGCTGAGCCAGAAGTTGTTACTGGCTTTCAGAGAAGTCACACTCCACTCAGAGAAAGCATCCTGAAACACGAGGGGCCTCACCTGGCCAGCAAAAAAATAACCTGAGCCTTGCCATGGTGCTGCCAGCAGCCAAGGGGAAGAATATATCCCCTCCCCAGAGACAGCACATGAGTTAAAATGAGAAAGCAAAAGAAAATAATTCTGCAGAAGGGACAGTTATTTTACGCTATGTGCAGCTCCAAGACGTGTGTCAGCGTGGCTGCCAATGTGAAACAGCACGTGCCCGAGGCACACACAGCCGGTGCCACTACGCAGCCACGTACGATCGGTAACAGCAACGCTCAGCGCGGATCTGCATCTGTTGCCTGGGAACCTCAAAGGTGTCAAAGACCTCAATTAACAATCTACACTGATGTCATTTCTCTACAGGGCCAAAGCCTCTCTGAGGAAAGGCTTCCAGCGGCTCTAGCAGGACAGCGGCGCGTCACTGACACATGCTGGGTCTCTCTTGATGCCAGGCCAAGAGAAACCCTTCAGCCAGCTTGTTCTGCCTCAGGAGCCTGCTCGGCCCAAGCCCAGCTGCAGTTTCCCAGACCTGGGAAGCTTCACAGGAAGCTTCACTCCAGCCATAGTGCACAACAAAACCCAGACAGAAAGCGGGGATCAGCCCCGACACGTGCACGGGCTCACAGAGGCTTACGAGTACAAGGAACACTCTGCTCGCTCACCTGCCAGCCAAAGCAAGATCAAGAAACAAAGACTAAGACATATCTCAGGTTGACTGGCGCTTTTAAATTCTTCTTCCTTAGCAGAAATGCCAGTATTTTGTACTCTTAACGGTTCCTGAGCTGTGATATTTCTTGCCTTGTCTATTCTTGGCAAGCGATCACCTGCAGCAGTAACAGATGATCTAGCAATAGTCGTGCATCACGGCATGTCAGAAAAGAGGCAGCCCAGTGTCTGCAGTCAGTGCATCACTTCAGAAAGAAGAAACTCCACTTGATCTATGTAAATACAGTTATTTATTTTTAAAAAGTCTATTTCTAGTTACAAAGGGCTTTGCTCTCCCACTTTAGAGCACCTTTTTTCCTCAGTTCCTCAAATAAACAGATCATTTTGCTCACCATTGCATCCAGCAGCCCATAAACCTGCAGCAGAAATTAAGAGAAGATAGTTGCAGTGCAAACACACAAAGAAATCCTGATGATGACAGAGAGATGCTTTCTTACGCACATTAACGTACGGGCACGCATACAGTCACACGAAAGCAGCTGCCTGCTAACAGCGCTGAGCTCTAGTAATAACTTTTCTGGCAATGAAGTGTGTTTAACGTTATCCGGGATACAATTAATTCTGCTGATCCCTCAAGAGTCCGCACGCATGCTAAAGACATCCCAGATAGAAATCCTGCATGTGGCTGTGTGATGGCTGGATTTATGTTAACAGACTGTGGGCTGGAATAAAGGACATCATCCTTTGTATTTCACGCTTACCTTGCTACAGAATTGCAGATGTGTGTGTCAGTTTTCCAATTTTAACTACATGCTTACCCCTCCATCTAAGTTTCAAGCTTACAAGCAAAGAAGAAAGCCAAGAAACAAAGACATAAGCTTTGGTCAGACTCACTTCAACATAAAGTTTTTCCTGGTATGTCCCAAACAAAACAGGGTCCACTGGCTCCTGAGGAAGTTCCACTCTATCCGTACTTAGAGCTTCCACGGGCTGGGCTCCTTCTTTCACCTCCTGCAATGAAGTGGGAGATTTCAGCTCTTTCTGATCTTTTACCTTCAAATTTCTGATGCTTGGATGTTCCTATTCAGGGATGGTCAAAAAAAGGAAGTGATCTAAGTCAGAACAGCTTTCAGGTTGCTGCCAGATGCACCTCCCCGAAGCAGCATCTCTTCCACTGGGTTGGAAATCAGTTCAAACTCAGGAAACACCACCTCAGAATCGATCACACTGTCCCTAGCACTTAGGTTTCAACAGGTTTCCCAACACATACCTTTTTCTCTTTCCTTGCTGTCTTCGTTGTTCTTTTTTTGCCTTCTTTATCCTTACCATCAAATGACTTCTCTTCTTTCCTAGTGCTTATCCTGTGTTCCTTTTCTCCTTTTACACGTTGCTTTACTTCCACTACAAAAGAAATTCAATTATCCAAAAGCAACGTTTTCACACCAAGGAAGACAAGCCCACTGCTCTCAGACAGTGGAAGTATATTACTTTTGCAATGTATTTTCTTCTTATTTATTAATCTGAGCCGTACTCCACTGAAAACAATACCTTGAAGAGTACTTTGCTTAAATAAGGAACGAACAAGTCTCGGGCGTGTATCAGAGCAAGTTTGTAAGGCAGCTAACAGTGAGGTAGAGTTTTCTGTGTTAATCCATGTGAAAACCATGGCTACATCTACCTAAATGAAAAGGCTTATTCCTGGGGTGCTTTTTTAATGACTAAACCACAGACCACAATTAGCATCACTTGCCATTTTTTCTGATGTGTTTTCTTGTAAAAGCATCAAGTGGGAACTACAGAAATTGCCATTTCGTTTGAAATTCAGCACGTTTTCTGGATTTCCAACACACCACAGAAAGCGGTTGCTGCGCTAAAAACTACCATTTACCTGTCTCCTCTGGAACTTCTGCATAGGTGTCCTTCTCAGGCAAGCCAAGCAGGGATCTCAGCTTCAGAGAGTGACCCACCAGCCCATCGATTGTTTCACGCCACAGCTGGAGACTGAGAAAAGGATCAGAATCAGAAGGGAGACAAATAGAGCAATTGCCGTCTTGTTTTGCCCCGTGCCCAGGAGTGAAAGCCCCCAAGAGCTGAGAGCTGCTCTGTCCAACTAAACCAATAAAATAGCACTCACCATCAGAAAAAAATTTGTGCAGAGGGATCCTAAATTACTTTCCTCACTTTTGGGCCCTCTGAGGTGTCAACTGTTTGCAAACCAATGGGTTCATACAGACCAATAAATATTACCGTGAAGCTACATCTCTTACTCTTCAATGTGACATGCCAGTAAATCAGCATCCACCTGCTCTCTTTACCAAGAGAACCTGCACCCTTCTGATTTAGAAATAAATAGAAGCTGTGGATATGTTTACAGTCTGATAGCCTGAGTAAAGAACAAAGAGGGCTATACGAGGGAGGATATAGTTATCTGAGTAAAAGGGTACAGAAAATTACCCAAAGGCTTCATATAGGCTAGAATAATCTTGCCACAAATAATCCTGTGCACTCCCAAAAATTTCACTGATTTAGTATTCTAAACTTATCTCCAGGGGAAAAAAATAAAAATAAAAAAGGCACTTCGGTCCTAGACAGCTCCTACAATTAATCTGTAAAAACAAAAAGACAGTGTAAAGAAGATTTCTAGTCCTCATATAATTATCTGCACCCTGAACCATAACACTTGCAAGAGAGCTTGCTAAGGCTGTCGATCACACAACACATTTACAAGTTTATCTTGCAAAGGTAACGCACCAGGTTTGATACAGAAGGTCCGACTGAGTTGGCCTCTGTTCAACACACAGCTCCAGCGCTGCCTTGTTGAGCTGGGTCAGCGCTTCCTCTTGCTGCTCCTTCTCAGGGATCAACATTATAGCCTGAAGCGAGAGAAAACAGAGGGTCCCTGGAGTAAGCACTTCCTCTCAGTCTTCATTCCCAGCCCAGGAACCCTGAGCTCAATGAAGTGCACCACAGCTCTCCTCCTGGACACCAGTCTGAAACCAGGTTGCACTGGGCACTTATGTGCCCAGGTGTGGCTTCCAATACGGCTGGGATTTGGCCAAAGCAACCCAAGGTTTGGGGAGCAATGCCAGACCTCCCCAGTTAGTAAGCCCCTCTGCCAGGTCACTGGTGTGCCGGAGAATAGGGATTCCAGCGAGCTAGGCGGCCTCAGAGTAAAAATTAGTTGTAAAAGCAGCAGAGAGGTTTTGAAGAGAGCACTACAGAAAAACTGTGCTGACAGAATCCAAACCACTCTTGCTTTAATCTAGGGAGGTCTGTGCTTTAGCCTCTGCCTATCATGAGTGCCCCCTTAGCGCTCTGATGAATAGGAAGGACTCTCCAAGCAGAGGAGCCCTCAGGGGAAGCCACAGGAGACTGTAGGATTAGCCTACCCGCTACATTCAGCCCTGGGATGAAGGAAAGTTAATGAGGGAAGAGCTTAAAATAACTACAATATGGTGTGGTTCTCTTCCCTCCTTCACACAACAGCCCTCAAAGTCTCCCTTGGGAATGACTTTACAAGAGCACTGAGGGTGTGGTCAACAGAGCTCCAGTGCTTTCCTGCACCGCACGTCACAGATCATCCCTAACTCACAGCACGTTGGGAGCATTTGGGTGGGCTCACACGGGGGTGGGACCGGGTATTTGTAGGGGAAGGATACCACCAGGTTGTCAGAGCACTTGCAGGAACAGAGGCGACCACCTGCTTCAAGTCCTCAAAGGAGAAGTTCCATCGTGAGGGGCCTGGTTCGTCCTCCTTCACATTCATCGTTTGACTTGGGGCCTCCTCAAGTGTGTTCTTCAAACCTGGGACCTCTGTGGTGTTGCTCTGAGAGGGGAGAGACTCTGAGGTACTCTCCTGGTACTGCACGCTCTCTGCACGGCTCTCCTGGTCCGAGGACACTTTCTCCTCAAAGGCTGAAGGAACAGTCACATGTCTCCACAGTTCGTGCAGCTCTTTTACCACTCGATGCTGATAATGCAACTATGATAACAGGGAAAAGTTAAACAGTGAAATGAGCTATGACTTTCCTCTACAAACCTCATTATTAAAGCCATCACGGCAGACTATGCCAGATTCTAGAAACCCAGGGATGCACCAGCCCCATGGGCCTTTCCTTCTTGCTATTTCAGTTGTGTAGCCCATCAAATAGCAAACATCACCTTGGGATTCTTCCAGTGAAACAACTCTTCCTCCGTGACATAGGCATCCACGGGAGATGGGGCACGCTCTGGGGTCCGAACTCGGTCCAGAAGTTCCCTCAGACACTCTTCCACTATAGTAGCAGCTTCTCGAGCAGCCAGGTCACTCTGAGGCACCACAAGCACACCTGTGAGTGCCCATTCCATATACAGGCACACAAACAAATTCACGCCCACACTAGTAACCACACGTATACGTTACATAGGGTTTCAAGGACAAAAATAACTGCAAACCCTACTAAGCAGAGCACTACCTAGAGCAGCCTATCAAACAAACCGCACAAATCCCCTCCATAATATACTTTTCAAAGCAGAGTGTAATTTTCAATTTATAACTTAACCGATATAATATTTTATGGCTCATAATCCTATCCCCACTAAGTAACTAATGAAATTCATTATCAGCAGAAATTTCTTTCTTTAAAGGACCAGTGCAAACAGTTCAGAAAACACAATCATCACGTCTTTACTAATAATATTAAAACAGACGCAGAGTTCTTCTATTTTATTTAGCAAATCTGCTCAAGTACGTTCAGACGTCCTGCAAATAATCACCTCACTCTCAGCCCTAATTGCATAGCAATAAAAATACCATGTCATCCACTCCCACCCTTATCCTCTATTTGCATATTAAGTTCAAAGCTCACAGTTGCCCAGTTACATGCTTGGTTACCTCCAGTTTCTCCCTGAGGTCAGCCAATTTATCCTCATACACAGCAATTCCCCAAAGGGTCACCTGCAGCAGAGCTCCTCCTAATAACAGAGGATGTGTCCTAAATTCCCAGGACTCGCTGAAAATGCCTGCTCTCTCTGATTTGAAAAGAAAGGAAAATTTCCTTGTTTCCCCAGGCAAAATTAAACCTGAAATACGAAAGAAAAACGTATCAGTCCACAAAAAAACACCCGGTTAACGTGACCCTTCTCCAGCCCCACCCTGAGTGTCCTTATCTCTGTACGAGACTTTCCCTATTTCACACTCCATCCAGCTAAGTTTCTCCTTCCAGATTTACTGCCAGTCCCCATGTTACTGAACTGGTGTTATTTCCACTGCACACTCCTTTCACAGCCAGCTCAGAACTGTCTCTGGCAGATTATGCCCAGTCTGCCATCAGAAAATTATTCACTTCTAAATATTCCACCCATTCAGAGTAGGGGCAACCTCCTTTCCCCTTACTCCCACAAAAAGGATCTGCCTCGCACACCTCTGCTGCCGTGAGTCAGTTCTGACACCCAGGGTGGATTCCTAAGGAGAATCACTCACCCAGCTGGCTCTGCCATTAGTCAGACTCCGCATCTCAGGTAACTCCTGAATACGCGTTCTCTGGTCTACGTACAAAGGGCTCCGAGCTCAGCAGTTCTCGTACCTTCTCTGGTATCAAAATAAAATCGCTGTGTCCTCTTCCCTTTGGTTTCTCTGGAGGGAATCTGCTGGGGAAGCCTCATCCAGCAGTACCAGATGGCAGCTGTGCCGTCATTGCTCACTGTCAGGGAGCTTTCAGCTTTCTCACCAGCCAAAGTCTCGAAGGTGAGCCGGGCAGCAATGCCGATTTCAGGCTGTAAGAAAGAGGAAAAAGTTTCCACTGTACCTGGTAGGGCTTCTTGGCTGAAGCCATACCACAAAC